CAGGAGATTGCTTATCTCGTGTTTAGAGTTAAGGTTAGCCAGAAGAATTATTTTAGCGTTGCCTAGGATGTTATATGAATTCTTGGGGCCTTACATAGGGTTTCCCTTTTGTTTTGTTTTAAAACAATTTTCCCTCAATGAAAGCCCAATCATCCAAGCCCAAAGAAGAAGGAGTCCATTCCCTTAAAACAAGACCCAACATACCAAGTTCAGTAAATATTAATTTAATTGGGGTTTTAGAGCCCGATAAATATAGATAAATTCAATTAACATTCACTTTGAAATTTAAATGAAAAATCTCCCGATTCGAGACTACTAACCTGAGGGACTCGGGGCGTTACAAACTTCCCTCCTTCAAAAACTTTCGTCCCCGAAAGTTGACTGTTCTAACAGTTCAGGGTATCTCGCCTTGATATCGTCCTCCCGCTCCCAAGTAGCTTCTTCCACTCGGTGGTTCCTCCACAAAACCTTAACCAAGCGAATCGTCCGGTTCTTCAACAACTTGGTTTCTCTTGCCAAAATTCTGACGGGTATCTCCTTGTAGCACAAGGACTCATCCAGTTGTAATGGTTCAGGGTCCAAGACGTGCGAGGGGTCATGAATGTACTTCCTAAACATAGACACATGAAACACATTGTGAACTGCTGCCAACGATGGTGGCAAGGCCAACCTATACGCGACTGGCCCGATACGTTCCAAAATTTCAAAACGCCCAATGAACCTTGCGCTGAGCTTGCCCTTCTTCCAAAATCGCAAAATCCCCTTTATGGGTGCCACACGAAGAAACACCCGTTCACCTACCACAAATTCGAGCTCTCTACGCCTGACGTCTGGATAACTCTTTTGACGGCTCTGTGCGACTTGCATCCTTCCTCTGATCTTTTGAATGGCACTATTAGTCGCCTGCACCAAATCCGGTCCCAAGAGAACTCTTTCTCTGACTTCGTCCCAATTAACCGGAGATCGACACTCCTTCCCATACAGTGCCTCGTATGGGGTCATCCCAATCGTGGCCTGAAAACTGTTATTATAAGCGAACTCTATTAGGTAGAGATACTTGTCCCAACTACCACCAAAGTCTAACATGCAAGCTCTGAGCATGTCCTCTAAAACCTGGTTCACGCGCTCCGTCTGACCATCGGTTTGGGGGTGAAACGCCATGCTAAAGTCCAACTTAGTGCCCAGGGACTTGTGTAGACTCCGCCAAAAAGTCGAGGTGAAACGCAGGTCTCGATCGGACTCTATGGATACCGGTATACCATGTAGCCTGAAAATTTCCTGTAAATACAGTTCCGCCCATCTTTCTATTGTATACGTGGCCTTGCCGGGAATAAAGTGAGCAGACTTGGTTAAACAATCTAGAACTACCCAAATCACAGTGAATCCCTTAACCGTCCTTGGTAGTCCTGTAATGAAGTTCATAGTCACATCGTCCCACTTCCAGACTGGTATGCTCAAAGGTTGCAGCAATCCAGCAGGTCTCTGTCTTGAAGACTTTACCTGTTGGCAAGTCAAACACTTGCTAACAAACTGAGCTATTTCCCTCTTCATATTATGCGACCAGTAATGTTTCTTGAGGTATTGGTACATTTTGGTACTTCCTGGATGGACCGAGTAGGGAGTATTGTGTGCCTCTCCTAATAAGTCCTTCCTCAAAGAATAATCTTTTGGCACACATAACCTTCCGCGAAAAAGCAAAGCTGCCTCACCTGAGAGAGTGAAATCCCCATGGCCCACCATACTAAAGCCTTTGGCCAAGCTAGGGTCTTCCTTTTGGGCAACAATGATCCGCTGCCTCAGACTGGGTTCCACCGAGAGTCGAGCCAACAGTGCGGAGACGTCATCCACCGTCAGCTCAACCTCCAAGCGTTCCAACTCGCTGTGCATTGGACTGCAGATCACAACCAGAGATGCCACACTTGCCGCACTTCTACTAAGAGCATCAGCCACCACGTTTGCTTTACCCGGATGGTAACTAATCTAACAATCATAGTCCTTCACCAACTCTAACCACCGCCTCTTTCTCAAGTTAAGCTCCTTCTGGGTGAAAAGGTACTTCAAACTCTGATGATCCGTGAAGACCTGAATTCTCTCTCCGTAAAGGTAGTGCCTCCGCAACTTTAAGGCGAAGACCACTGCTGCTAATTCTAAATCATGAGTGGGATAGTTAAGCTCATGCGCCTTCAGTTGTCGAGAAGCATAAGCTATAACTTTCCCATGTTGCATCAGCACACACCCCAAGCCCCTTCGCGAGGCATCACTGTAAACCACCAAACCTCCCGTCCCATCGGGGACAGTTAACACCGGTGCAGACACCAAACGCTTCTTCAGTTCTTGGAAAGCCTCCTTACACTCGCTGCTCCAAGTGAAGGTAGCATTCTTACGAGTCAACTGCGTCAACGGTGCCGCTATCCGAGAGAAATTCTGGATGAACTTTCTGTAATAACCAGCCAAGCCGAGGAAGCTATGAATCTCTGTAACTGAACTAGGTCTTGGCCAATTGCTAATAGCTTCTACCTTGGTGGGGTCTACTGCAATACCTTCCTTGGTGACTATGTGTCCTACGAAAGCCACTTGGTCCAGCCATAACTCACACTTTGAAAACTTTGCATACAACTTATTTCCCTGTAGTGTAGTCAAAACCTGTCTGAGATGTTCTTCGTGGCACTGCTCAGTCTTGGAGTATATCAGGATGTCGTCGATGAACACGATGACAAAAGAATCTAAATACTCCTTAAAGACCCGATTCATTAGATCCATAAAGGCTGCCGGAGCATTTGTGAGTCCAAAAGACATCACGACAAACTCATAGTGCCCATACCTTGTTCTGAACGTCGTCTTCGAGATGTCGGCCTCCTTTAACCTTAACTGGTGGTACCCCGAACACAAGTCTATCTTTGAGAACACGTTTGCCCCCTGAAGCTGATAAAAAAGGTCATCAATGCGTGGTAGGGGATACTTATTCTTAACCATAACTTTGTTTAGTTCCCTGTAATCTATACAAAGTTGCATAGAATTGTCCTTTTTCTTAACAAAAAGCACGGGCGCACCCCAAGGGGATACGCTTGGGCGAATTAAACCCTTGTCGAGTAATTCTTCCAACTGTAGCTTCAGCTCTTTCAACTCTACCGGAGCCATTCGATAGGGTGCTTTCGAGATGGGAGTCGTCCCTGGCAGCAACTCTATACAAAAGTCCACTTCGCGGGACGGAGGCAAACCGGGGAGGTCCTCCAGAAACATGTCAGAGAACTCATTGACCACACGAACCGCCTCAATGGCCGGCAAAACCTTCCTTGTATCCACAATGCTAGCCAAATAGGCCCAGACACCATCTGGAGAAGATGGCTGGCCTTCAATGCCGACACCACCCTCGGGACCCTGGCCTTGACTTATTTAAAGGTAAAGTTTTGTCCGGAGGGCAAGCGAAAGCTAACTTCCTTCTTCGAGCAATCAATATTAGCCCGGTTGGCAGCTAACCAATCCATGCCTAGTATCACATCGAAATCCTGCATATCCAGTTGGATTAACTTTACCTCCACGGTCTGACCATTGAAAGAGAGCTGGCCTCCTTTCACCACTTGACTAGTGACCAACACAGATCCTGACGGAGTGGATACCGACAGCAAAAAGCCTAACGATTCTAGCTCTAGGTCCGCATGCCGAACAAAAGTAGAAGCAATGAAAGAATGACTAGACCCCGAGTCAAATAAAGCGTAA